ATTATTTTTAGGACACACACATTTTTGTATCATAAATCACTGCGTGTCATGGTTCGTATGTCATTAAAGGTCTATATTCTAGTAGTGCTAGCTTTAATTGTGTGCAAGCCTTTCATGGTTTACACCCACAACACAAGAACCATATAAGATTTAGGAGAGAGGGGAGAGGTATCAAATTTTCGACTATGTTCTCTTATAAAGGCTTGGCCGAAAATTCCATGTGTAAGGTTGTATTTATAGCTGATTAGGAAACACCTAGAAACCCTAATTTGAACATAAAGTAATATTATTTCAAATATGGTAACTATCTAGTTCCTTGATTATCCATATGAAGGCTTCCTAAAGACTCCAAGGGAAGCCTTAAAACCGTCCCATGCAGGAGGGTTTTCTAACCTGTCTTCTATTCAACTTTTGAACAATTACAGTTATAGTCCTTCAACTTTTAATTACTTCTAATTAACCCAAAATTAGTTCCAAATTAATTCTGATTAATTCTAAATTAATTATAAATATTCTTAATTAATATAGTAGCCATACAATATATTAATAAATAGTTTATCTCTCTCTAAAATCAATCTAAGCAACTTCTTGGTTATGAAGGCAACCCAAAAAAGGACTGGACTCATAGGCATCAATATTATACCAATTTAGTTAGGACCTTAGACACATTAATTCAACACTCTCCTCCTTGTACATTATTATATATGTTTTACCTTTCTATTTACTATTATCAAACTTAGCTTGTCAGTCGGTTCTCGAGCGTCATGATTGTCACGGCCCTCCTAAATTAACTACTATATCTAGATATATATATATATATATATCTATCATATATATATATATATATATATCTTTATTAGGAGTTAGGATCAAATGATAACACCAAAAGGTTGAGAACGCGAGAACAAAGTATATTCATTGCGATCCATGTATTCATTTGTGGAAGAAATGATAAATTTTACGCCTTTAATTTCAATTGAAAGAGAAAGAGAAAATGCATATTCATGTTGATTTAGCGTAAAAATTTATCATTTCTCCACAAATGAATACATGGAATCACAAATGAATATACTCGTTCTCGTGGGCTCAAACCTTTAGGTGTTCTCATTTGATCATTTCCCTATATATATATTATTATATATATATATATATTTATATATCTATATATATATATATATATATATTATATAATATATATATATGGAAAAAAATGCAAAAAATGGTCCTTGTGGTATGTCAAAAATTATGACTTTTGTCCAAAAATATTTTAGAGTAGCACCACCGGACCAAAAAATGAGTTTTATTGCAGATTCGATCAAATTTGTTTTAAAATGACCGATTTACCCTTTGAATTTTGTCTTCTTATTTTTCTTTTATTACATCAACTAAATAAAACAAATAGAAAATATCACCTACCCCCCCTCCCCACACAAACACAAACACACACACACACACACACACACACTCTCTCTCTCTCTCTCTCTCTCTCTAAAGTACCCTTATTGAATGCTTTTTCTAGGTTTGTTCTTGTTCACCCCTCCCTATTTTCTTGGTTTGTTCTTAAATACACAGTGCCTGTTCGTTCATTTTGGAAACCTCGTGCAAAGAATGAAATTTGGGCCCATATATATATATATATATATTATATATATATCTATATCTATATATATATATATATATATATATATATATTACCATAACATCATCAATTACTTGAAAAATTATTTTGACATATTTTAATCTGTTTTGGATTCATAGAAACCAAATAATAAAGGGGTGATTGAATTTCATGAGGAAAAATAATAATTAAGTTGATTAAAAGAAACCAAATGTAAATTTATCAAAGTTAGGTCAAACTTGAAACTTATAAAAATTGATTTACTAAATTAAATTAACTATTAAATTTGAAGGGTCAAAGATGTAACTTTCATTGATTTGCTTAAAAAGATATGGAATGGGGATGGAACCCATGTCATACAGCAAAATACAAGCATAAATGTGCGCTTTAGCCAGCGTAGCTAATCGGAATTCGCTTTTTTATTTGAACAAATTCATATATATTATATATATATATATATATATATATATATTTATATATTATATATATATATATATATATATATACTAGATTAATTTTTATTAAAATCGGGGCCCTATTTTTTTCGTGACCCTGTACGGCTGCACACCCTTAGGGTCGGCCCTGCACACACTCCATATTTCTGGGTATATCTTCAACACACATATAGATGAACTCCCTGAATGAATCCAAATTTCGAATAAAACCCCAAACACAATTTTTAATCGAATAAAATCCATAAATGGTTAATCATGAACACAAACTCCGTATTTTTGGATTTTTTTTCTTCAACACATACATAAACTCCATCAATGAATCCATATTTTGAATAAAACCACATAAACGATTTTTTATTTTGAAAAAAAAAATACATATATCATTTTTGTTTTTGTATGTGTGTGGTCATCCTCATGTTTGATATCTTAAGAACCATATTGCCAAGCACTCCACGATTCGATGACACAAATTGATGAAATTTTAGAACTTTTGGCCTTACCTCTTGAATCCAAGATCCGGTAATCATGCCCTACCTAAATGGTTCCTCCTTCGTGTATATAGAGTTTTAACAACCGAGAATATTCATCTTCTCCAGCAAGTTGTCGTCAATGTTGGTACATAGAGATTAAATAAATGAGATTTGGAAAGGGATCGTCACTGAGGATGATATTTTAGAAAGAGATCTTCAAATCGGTGCCTTCATCTAAAAGGATCTAGAAACATGGTCGTCACAAATCTATAACTAGAAATGGAAAACGATGTAGTTTTTTTTTCATCTATGTCAGTTCTGAAGGCATAGAACAGAGCTTCACTAGAGTTGCCAAAACCATATTCGGAAAATATGTGTTATCGTAGATCATCCTTGTGAGATCTACAGAAGACGAACAGAGATCTATCGGTGTCGATGATGTATTCAGTGGCGGATCTAGGATCAAGGTAAAGGGGTATCCCCGACAAGTAAAGGGGTACCCCGACATAAAAAAAATCGCGTAATACACAATATAAGAAAAAAAATTCCCGAAGAAATTACACTTCGAATTTTTTTGAGGGGTATCCTGGGCTACCCCGGGATATAAAGTAAATCCGCCTATGGATGTATTTGAGGGCAACAAACGAAGGTGTGTGTGTATCTATCACTGTCGGTGACCATAGGTCAAACAAAATATACAAATAGAGATGGAGATGTAATTTTTTGTCGAAACTATCTTTTGAGAGAGAGAGAGAGAGAGAGAGAGAGAGAGAGAGAGTGTGTGTGTATGTGTGTGTGTGGTGTGGTATTTTCTTTTTGTTTTTTAATTGATGTAATAAAAGAGAAATAAGAAAACAAAATTAAAAGGGTAAATCAATAATTTTAGGGTTTTATAAAAAAATTTGGATCAAATCTACATAAAACTTATTTTTCGGACCGGTGGTATAACTTTAAAACTTTTTGACATACCCTAGGGATATTTTTGTAATTTTTTTTATCTCTAATCGCTCTTCTCTTGGAGATATATATATAGATATAGATAGATATATATATATATATATATATATATATATTATATATACTCCGATTCCGGTGAGGACTCTCTTTCAGTGAGGACTCGTGAGGACACTTTACAAAATTGAAAAAAAAATTACAAATCATAAAATCAAGTATAGTAGTATATCGGAGAGAAAAAAAATTCCGGGGTGAGGACTCTCTTTTTTTCAATTTTTTTTACGATCTATATATATATATATATACTATATATATCTATATATATTATATATATATATATTATATATATATATATATATATATATACTAGCCGTTTATCCGCGCTAAGCGACGGGTGGAAATAATTTTTTGAGAAATTAGTTTCTAAAGGCGATTAGTTTTTTTTTTGTTTTGCATAGTTAGTTTATTATATCTAAACAGTTATCAACAAAAGTTATGTTAACAAAAAGGAAATCAATAAGAATAAAAAATGAAAATTTGAGATTCTTTACAAATGTACATGAACACATGACTGATTGTGCATTATTAATCATTCAACACTACTTTATACCAACAGACTTCACCACTGTCGTTGTATTGTTTGTCGAGGTTCACTAAAATTTTTGTATTCGCATGTGATATCCCTTTGGATAATGTCACATAAAATTGGTAATGCAAGGAAATCGATTGTAGAAGATAAATACCTAAATTTGGAATTGGTTGTTCCTGATCTTTATTGATTTTCATCTTGAAACATAATTGAATTGAGAATTGTTTTCTCTCTAGGTTGAATAAGAACATGTCATCTTTAGCCTAATAATTAATTTATTTTGTAAATTTTATGTTATGTTTCAAGGAATAGAAATATAAGGCAATACTTTTGAGAAGTTCTTCGTATTTTACAAACCGAGAAGAAGAAACGATAACAGTAAATATTCTCTTAATTTAAAAAAATTAATAAATAAAATATGTAAAGATTAATATCATGTCAAGAAGACATGATTCAAAAGGAACAAATGTAAATAAATAAGATGACCAAGACATAAAACAGATTTCACCACTATTGCCATAATAAAATGCATGATTCATTAACGGATACAAAAATATTTCACCATTTTTGCCAATTAACAATTGATTTTTACTGTTAAAAATTAACTTGAGGTTTACAAAGAATGTCCTAATAAAACTTTAGATACATTAGATTGCAAAAATCTAAATCCATCAATCATGAAGTAATAATAATTTTTTTAATAAAACTTTTACTAACCTTTTTAGATTATATAATTACTTAGGGGTGTTCCAAATTACCCAAAACCATAAATTTGATCCAAAATTAAATAATGAACCGAACGATATCTTGATTAAATACAATGTTATTAATTTGTTGTGATTAGATGTTATGCTAAGTAATTTTGTATGCTTGGTACCATGGGTACATATCTACCTCTCTAAACTTTAAAGGAAATGGTCGGCGCCAGCGAGTGGACGGAAGTACGCCGGAAGAAGAATACAACAAGCAGGGAGATCCCGAAAGATGAGACTAGTTTTTTCGTGACGAACATACCCAACGGCGCAACAAAATCAGAGTTCAGAAAGCTATTCTCACACGTGGGCAGATTGACGGACATCTACTTCGGAGACAAGAGAGGCTACAATGGGAAAAACTTTGGCTTCATTCGGTACATTGGAGTGGATCAGCCAAAAGAGATGGAGAAAAGGCTACAGGGTGTCCAGTGTAGAGGGAAAATATTAGAAATAAACATCGCAAAACATGGGCGAAAACCACTGAATGATAACAGGGTTACGACGGCGAAACTTCAAGTGCCCAAATCCAAGAACTTTGATTGCGGTGCATCCGGATTCGTTGGATAAAGAACGTTTGCTGAAGTTACAGGAAATGGTGTTCAAAATTTCGGACTCCATGCTCCTCCACCTCCTCCCCTAAGAAGACCCCAAATCCCACCACCGATTTATCTCAGCATCGACAAAGACCTGGACAGATGGATCTCTAAATCCATAGTTACCGGCGAAGCTATCTCACCCCACCATCTAGGACATTTACTAGCCTTGTTATCGATTCATTGCGACAAGAGAATTGAAGTTAAATATATGGGGGGCTTGTATGCGGCGCTTTGCTTCGATAGCACCGTTGAAGCGGTAGAATTTCTGGGAAATGATAAAAATTGGAACGATATATTTAAACAGGTACAGATGGGGGACCCCGACATCATGAAGTTCGAACGTATTGCATGGATAAGAATTATGGGACTGCCGTTAAAATTTTGGTCCGAAGATAATTTTAAGAGCATTGTCAAACGCTTAGGCGGAGTAGTCATATCTTTCCCGAGTATGACTGGTCGATCTCTCATGCATAAAGATTGGAATCTTAACTAATAACTTCTCAAGATAAACGAAGTAGTACCGGTGAGCCTGACTGGAAGGATTTTAAGGGTTGGAGTAGTTGAATATGAAGATAATGACTAATGGTTCCCATTCAAGTTCGACACGGAGAATGATCCATATGAACCCATAATGACTGAAGTTGAGGAATTCGACTCTGATACTGACGAAGACAACTCTGGAGGGGAAGAGGAAGTAGAAGGGATCTTTGACACTGATATGGATGAGAAAGAGGAATGTGAAATTAAAGACGAAGATGAAGTTCTGATGACGCAGGGAGACGGTGACAGAAACACTGATGCTACGACCAGTCCCCCGGAATCTGGTGTGTCGTAATCGTCGGTGACGGTCCAGGAGGTGGCCACTCCAATCGTCACCACGGAAAACATCGGAGACTACAACATTCTCTTTTCTAGGGAAGAGGTATCGTCGCCTGGGGCAAAGGTAGGAGATAATAATATGGTTGACCCACAATTAAATATAAACGCAGTTGGACCGGACCCCCCACACAAAATGCAAATAATCACGTACCCAATGTCATGTATACACCCATGCCCAATTTTCTATTAATTGGGTTAGCCAAACTGGGTAGTTTTGGGTCATTCCCTCTAACACCGTCTGGTGGGGCTCAATATAGCCGTGCTCGTTCAATCTCGCTTTTTGCTCCAGGTAATGGTAAATCAACAAATAAAAGAAAAAGATCATCCTGTTCACCGATAATGGAACCCCAGAGGATTGTTCCGACTCAATTGAATTTCGACGGTGAGGGTGTTTGGGATTACTTTTGAGCATCAAAAGTCCTTCTTGTAGAAGGACTTTTTGTAAAAGAGGTCTTTAAAATGTGTTTGGATTGAAAAAAGGACTTTTGATTTAACTTTATATGTAAAACAACAAAAGTCACAAAAAGTCATGATTTTGTGACTTTTAGAAGCTCCTTATTTTCTTCTTGCCAAAAGTCATTTCCAAAAGATCTTTTGAACTTTCCAAACACCTTTTGACTTTTTTTAAACTTTTTGGAAAAGTTAAAAGTCAAAAGTTATTTTAAAAGCAACCCCAAACACCCTCGAAGACCAGGCCGCTCTCCCAACCCTTTCGTTACCCATAATGCCTAATCAAAAACCCAATACTCAAATACCCTCCGACTCGGTATCTAGAGCACACTCGATCATTCAAGAAATTGAAATTAGGACCACAATTGGGAACATAGTCGGTTTCAGAATTAAGGCCAAGGATCCTCTGTTGGCTAGAATTCTTGACGTATCTGGAGAGCCTACCGGTTTATAATGAATTTTTTATCGTTAAATATTAGATGAATCGGAGAAGATTATAAGGTGAATTGGGTAAGAAAGCTCAAATCAAAACACAAGATTTCCTTCTTTGCAATCCAGGAAACACAATTACTAGATGCGGAAAACATCGATGTAGAAGCATGTTGGGGTTCTACAGATGTGGGAGTAGAAAGAATGAACACAACTAGCTGTGGGACAATAGATTATTCTCGTCTACTGAAGTCATTTCGTCTCATAACTTTTTAATCAACATTGGAACATGGAATGGGATACAAGAGAAGGTGGTTTTCGCAAATATTTACGGTCCACAATCTGTGACAGTAAAGGCGGCCCTATGGGAGGAACAGAAAGGTGGTTTGTGGATTACTCTAGGTGATTTCAATGTTGTCCGAGGTCCAGAAGAACGGTTTAACTCTATATTTTGCTCCCGTTCAACTAGATATTTTAACTGCTTTATTCATGAGGCGGGTCTTATTGATGTGAAGATGGGAGATCATAAATTCACATATTTTCGAAATGCTGAAGTAAAGATGAGCAAATCGGATAGATTTTTGGTATGCCAAAATTTTCTAGACCTCATTCCTAACGTTACTGTCACGACACTACCTAAAGAAATCTTAGACCATTGCCCTATATTACTCACATTCTCATGGTGTGATTTTGGACCACCGCCATTCAAATTCTTCAATTCATGGATGTTAAAGGAGGATTTTGAATCTGTTTTCATTGCTTCATGGAATAGTTTCAGGGGATATGGTACCCCAGACTTGTACCTACTGGCGAAACTAAAAAGGGTGAAAGAGGGACTTAAAAGAATGGAGAGCCACGACATTCCGAAAGGAAGAGGCCGATCTTATGAATCTAAAAGATGTTGTCCACAAACTTGATATTGAAGCCGAATCCAGGATGCTATCTGATGAAGAGATTGAAATAAGATGCAGGGGCTACAAAGAGATCATTGAAAAAGAGAAAATGACGGTATTAGAGCTAAGACAACAGTCAAGAATTAAGTGGGCGGTTGAAGGGGACGAAAATACTCGATTCTTCCATGGCTACGTTAATAACAACAATCGGAAAAAGAGAATTAACGGTCTTTTGATAAATGGTTAGTGGTGCACTGATCCGCTGAAAATCAAGATGGAGGCATACAATTTTTTTAAAGCAAAATTCCAGGAGGCCTGTCCTGTGAGGCCTAAATTAATCAGCCCCTTGTTCAAAAAGATTCCACCATTTGAACTCCAAAATCTTGAATCTCCTATTACACTCGAAGAGATCAAACACGCCGTGTGGGCTTGTGGAAATGAAAAAGCACCTGGACCGGATGGTTTCCCATTTCAGTTCATCAAAAAATATTGGGAGGTTCTGTTGGGCGATATAGCGACGGTGGTCAAATACTTTGAAAGACAGGACACTTTGGATTCCTCGTGTAATTCCTCATTTATCTCCCTAATCCCCAAAGTAAAAGACCCACTTCTTCTCAGTGATTACAGACCGATAAGCCTAATCGGTTGTATGAATAAAATTATTGCAAAAATATTGGCGGTGAGAATAAAAAAGGTGATGGGTCATTGCATCGACGAGGTACAATCAACATATGTTGAGGGCAGGAATATATTAGACGGACCGCTGGTGGTAAACGAAGTATGTTCATGGGCGAAGAAACCAAAATCAAAAATTCTCCTATTTAAAGCAGATTTCGACAAGGCGTTTGACACAATAAATTGGGACTTTTTAGACTCAAATTTACAACAAATAGGATTAGGGGGGAAATGGAGGATGTGGATCTGAGGATGCCTTAACTCAGCAAAAGCTTCAGTCCTAGTCAACGGAAACCCAACGGATGAGTTTAATGTCTCAAAAGGGGTTCGTCAAGGGGACCCGTTGTCACCGTTTCTGTTTATAGCCGTAATGGAATGTCTAAGTGTGGCAATAAAAGCAGCTTGCATTAATGGGGTGTTCAAAGGCGTTTAGATGCCACACGGTGGTCCGATGATCACTCATTTATTGTACGACGACGACGCGTTGTTCATCGGAGAGTGGTCCGAACAAAATATCAAGAACTTGGCTAGGGTCTTACCTTGCTTTCACGTATCGTCGGGTTTAAAGATAAACTTTAACAAATCAAAATTTTATGGTATTGGTGCACATATAACTGAAGTTGCGTGTTGGGCAAGGCCTCTCAGATTCGAACCATCCTCCCTACCGTTCAATTACCTAGGCGTACCTGTGGGAGCCAACATGAAACTGAAGAAGCATTGGAAACCGATCGTGGATAGAGTTCGGGCAAAATTGTCAATTTGGAAAGCAAAATCACTTTCATTCGGGGGATGATTAACGCTCATTAAATCGGTAATGAGGAACCTCCCAACATACTTTCTATCACTATTCGTAGCACCCGAAGGAGTAATCAATACATTGGAGAAAATTAGACACCGGTTCTTATGGGGGGGTCGGAGGAGCAAACAAAAATTCATTGGGTTCCATGGGATATGGTAATAGCGGATAAGAAGCTAGGCGGTTTGGGGGTGGGTTCCTTAAAAGCACTAAATACTTCCCTTATTGTAAAATGGATGTGGAGGTTAAGAGTGGAACAAAGGGCATTATGGGCAAAAGTTATAAAAGGTATACATAATATTCAAAACAAACCAGATGAATATTATTCGAAAAAAACATTGACAAGAACTTGGAAAAACATTATTGGTGCAAAGAAAGACCTAGAGAAAAAAAGGAGTTTCAATTGATCAGGTGATTAAAAAGAATGTGAAACCACATGGTGTAACTTGGTCGTGTGGCCTCACGACTGATGGTGGGTTTAAAGTCAAAGCATTGAGAGTTAGATTGCAAACTCAGGAACCGGTAGACATCAGAAAATTCTTATAAGTTAAACATGTGACTTTAAAAGTAACAAGCTTCATATGGAGGGCTAGATTAGGGCGAATACAAGCTGAAGTGGAACTCATCAAAAGAGGGGTGACGGTGGACTTAAACATTTGTCAACAGTGCGGGAACGCGGAAGAGACTGTGGATCACATTTTGGTACAATGCCCTTTCGCAAAGTCAGTCGCGGAGTGGATTTTTAGTTGGTGTAATAACCCTTTGATTAACCTGAATTCGGTGGTTGATGTTTTGGATTATGCCTCAAACTGGGGTAACTGTCCAAAAAGGAGAGTGAGAGTTGTTGGT